ACTTAGAAAGCAGAGACTCAAACAGATTCTTGTACACCAATGTGCATAGCAGCATTATTCACAATGGCTAAGATGTGGGGCCTGTCAACAAATGAATGGATAAACAAAACGTGTTACATACACACAATGGGCTATTATTCAACCTTAAAAAGGAATAAAATTCTGATACATGCTGCAACATGGACAAACTTTAAAGACATTATTCTAAGTGAAATCAGCCAGTCAAAAAAGGACAAATACAGGACCCCACTTTTTGAGGTACCTTGGCCAGTCAAATTCATAAAGACAGAAAGCTGAACAGTGGTTGCCAGGGGCTGGGAGGAGGGGAGGTCGAGGCTTTACTATTTAATGGGTACAGAGTTTCTGTTTGGGATGATGAAAAAGCTCTGGAAATAAACAGTGGTGATGGTTGCACAACACTGTGAATGTGCTGAATGTCACTCGACTATACACTTCAAAATGGTTAAAATGGTAAATTTTATGTTATGTATACTTATCACAGTAGTTATACATAAATACACACATGTATACATATCCACATAAATATGTATAACTTCTTAAATGCACATGCCCTTTGATCCAATAAACCACTTCTAGGTTTTTAGTCTTCAGATGTATTTGCACACGTATGATATGGTGTCCCTATAAAGACATCTAATACAGCAATGTTTGCAGTAGCAAAAGGTTGGAAACAACCTAAATGTCTGCCTACAGGAGCCCAGTTAAATAAATGATGGTACCTCTATATAATGGAGTATAACACAGTCATGAAAAGCATGAGGCAGTGCAATACGGACCTGGAACCCTCTCTGAGATAGTAGGTGAAAGGCTGAGTGCAGGAGTGAACGTGCTACCATTTGTGTGTGTGTGTGAGAAGTCTGTACGGGCGCCCCTCGGAGATACTGTGGGCTTAGTTCCAGAACACCGCAATAATGCAAGAAAGCAAATCACGTGAATTTTTGCATTTCCCAGTGCATATAAATCAACAGTATGACTGACAGCTGGCATTATGATAGAAGCCTGAGGATAATGGAAAGACACCTTTAAAGGGCAGAAAGTAAAAATCCAGCAACCCAAAATTCTACGTCTGACAAAAAGTGACTTTCAAAATTAAAATCAAATTAAAGACACTTCCAACAATTAGAAATGGAGACAATTTAGGACCAACAGACCTACATGAAAAGCAGTATCAAAAAGAATTCATCAAGAAGATGGAAGCACAGCCATGAAGAAGAAATGGAGTATAACTGAGAGGGTAAAATATGGGCAAATGCAGGTGAATATTAACTGTGGAAGACTGTTTTGTGGGACTTAAAATATACATTGAATTAAAATATATTACAACTGAATCACTATGTTGTACACCTGAAACTAATATTGTAAACCAACTATACCTCAGTTGAAAAAAACCCTGAAATAAATAATAAAATAAAATACACGGAAGTGTAGGAGAAGGGAAATTAAGTATTGTGAGTTCCTTGCATTGTGACCAAAGAGGCAAAAGTACTTTGGGGTGGATGTAAATGTGTCATAATCAACATTTATTGACCTTATCTCATTTTTGAAAGACATTTCGTAGAATACACATTATTAAGTGCATCAAAACTGACCACAAGCTTGGTCAACAATCAAGTTCCAATAAATTTCAAAGGACTAAAATCACACAGAGCATGCTGTCAGACTGCAGTCAAGTTAAGCTAAACATCAATAACAGAAAGATAACCTTTAAACATTCCCCAGACGTTTGGAAATTAAGTAATGTACTCCTAAGTAGCTCATGGATCAAAGGCATCTCAGTGGACTTAGAAAACATACATTTTTAGAAAATCTGAATTTTAGAACTTACAAAACTGAGCTAAATGACAATAGCAATATGACATATCGAAACTTGTGGGATAAAGCAATGTACTGAAGGGGAATCTATAGCATAAGTGCGTGTTTTAGAAAAGAAATGCTGAAAATCAGCTAGGTCCCATCTCAAGCAGGTAAAAAAAAAAACACCAAATTGACCCCAAAGAAAGAAGAAAATGACAAAGAAGCATAAGTTAATGAATTATAGAAACGGACAAAGATGCTTCACTGTGAAGGCTAAAATATTAACAAACCTTAGTAAGACAGATTAAGAAAAAATAAAAAATAGAAGGTACAAATTACCAACATCAGTAATGAAAAAAGAAACAACATAAAGCCCAGGGACAATGAAACAAAGAGAGAAAATATAATGATCAATGTCAGAAATTTGAAAATTTAGATGAAATGGACAGGTTCCTAATAAAACATAAAAACTGTCCAAAATTCACAAAAAGAAATGTAGGACCTTTTATCTTTAGAGGAAACTGAATCTTCTCATAAAGGAAACTCCAGACCCAATATGGCTTCACTAGTGAATTCTTCTGAACATTAAAGGAATACCCTAAATCTTCCTTAAACTCTTCCAGGGATTAGAAAGAGGGAATATTTCTCTAATTAATAAGTCTGGTATAACCATTACGCCCAAACCTGTCATGGACACAGAAAGTCAAAATGGAAGCAGCTCTCATGTACGTGGTCCCAGAAGCCCTAAGGAATTTAAATATGAGCAGGTTGAAACTCTTGGGCGGCAGAATTCCAGCCCCACCGATGGTGATAGTGCTTCTCTCACTCCCAAAGGGATTTATGCAGATTATCCCATTTTACTCCCAATTTATCATCATCTACACTTTACACAGAGGGAAATTGAGGCCCAAAAAGGGGAAGGAAACAGCCCAAGGTCACACTCAGGCTGGAGTCCACTTGATGGACATTACAAGCACCTGCTGTGTCCCAGGTAGGCCTAGGGATGTGGGTTTGTGCCTCTCCTCCCCCTGCACCTCCCTTCTGCCTCCCTGGACCTCTCCCAGGCTAGTGTCTGCCCTGCCACTGCGGCCCTGGGCAGCCAGCACAGGAGCAGCAGCAGAGCCCAGGCAGGGTGCCGGCGCCCTCTGGCTGCTCCGTGGTGTCCAGGAGTCCTGGAGCACACGTGGTTGTTCTCGCTGCCGGCCTACCCCCAGGCTCCCTGCACTGACCCCGCCCAGAGGGAGCATATGGCCCTGAGCATTAGAAAGAAAGCCCTCATGGGCCATGCCCTTCAACCTGACCATCACCGTTTACAGCTGTCTTTGTCCATTTCTTTTAATTTTTGGTTTGTTTGTTGGGGGAGGGAGGTAATTAGGTTTTTATTTATTAAGTACTAGAGACTGAACCCAGGACCGAGGGGGAGGGTATAGCCCAAGTGGTAGAGCACATGCTTAGCATGCATGAGGTCCTGGGTTCAATCCCCAGTACCTCCTCTAAAAATAAATAAACCTAATTACCTCCCCTCAACACACACACACACACACACACACACAGTGCTGAACCCAGGACCCTGCCACTGATCCACACCCTCCCCTTTGTCCATTTCTCTAATTTATTGAAAGAGTCAGCACTTCTGCCTGTTCCTCATTTGACCCTCAGGGAACCCTGCAAGATGAGTATCAATACCCCCACTTTGCAGATGAGGAAAGTACGGCTCTATGTGGTGGCTAACTTGTCTAAATCATCTACACAGAGACTAACAGGTCCAGGGTGAGACACAGGGCCTTCCTCAGCACACCAGGAGGCCCCCAGCAAGCACTGTTCAATGTGATTGAAGATGTCCTGGATTATACATTATGAGACAGACAAGATCCACACAGACGGCTGCACTGAAAACCACACAGACTATATAAAAAAGAACTCCCCAGCCTACCTAAGGGGTGATACATGCATGTTTTTTTAATGCAGAGAACCCAGAGGGAGGCCTCCACAGTATGAGAGCTCAAATGCAAACAGAAGCCAAGACAGTATAAAAAAATAGAAATTAAAAAACATCTTTTGAGATACTCAATAAAGCCAGTAAAGCGGGATTCTTTAAATACATTCAAGCCACAGCAGTGACTCGGTAACCACAGGATACAGGGCCGAGGAGAAGGTGACAAACAGGACAGGCCCTTTGTCACAACGAGGTCGGGGAAGTTCCCCTTCTAAAAGAGGTTAAGTCCGAGGCCCAGCTCAGAAGCTTCTAGATCCCACTGGTAAACAGAGAAAGAACATCCCAGGACAGAGGATGCTGGACACATAAGCAAAATGACTCAGTGTGTGCCTTCAAATTGCACTGTCTGGAGGACGTGAGGCCCACCGATGGGGCCCCCAGCTGAGGGTCCCAGAGTCGCCTCTGAAACTATGGCCCCGCCCACCCGAGAGGCAGGGTCTGTGAAAACAGCAATTTCGGGAATCACAGAACCCAGAGCACACAGCACTGCCTGAACACAAAACAATGTGGCTCCCAGAGCAGAGAATCACGTATTTTCAACCTACTGAGTTTGTTTGTTCAGGGGAAGTCAACCTATGGATAACAGGACACTGGTGGACGTAATTTCTGAAGACCTTCAAAAAGCATCTGAGAGGAATCCAGACCAAAGACTATTTAGGAGACTGAGTCACACGAGAGCGGGGTTTCTGTGGCGGCGGATCAGGCTGGAGCCAAGCCAGTAAACAAAGAGCGGGGACAGCAAGCACTTCTCTAGATGGAAAAATGTAAACAGTGGTGTCCCCAGGGGTCGGGCTGGTTTTACATCCTCGTGAACGACTTCGCAGGAGAAGGCAGTGGGGAGATGGCTCTGAACGCAAAGGAAACAGCCCTCTTGGGAGGAGGTGTGAGGGGCTGATAGACTTCACCCAGCAAGGCCCCTGAGGCCAGGACATGGGTCCCCCCACTGCAGAGGGAGGAGCCCTGAGCACACAGTAGGTGCGCTGCACGAATCTGCCCTCGAACAGGAGGGAGTGGCAGAGGGAGGCAGGAGAGGAATAACACAGAGTAATGCCTCTGCAGAAAAAGAATTCAAACTCCAAGCCCCAAGGAGCCCAAGGCCCCTGCAACGACAGGGCCCAATCCCTTCCGGCAGGCCCCGAACCCAGGCTCCAGGCCGGTCCTGCCCCAGGCCACCCCCAAAGAGCCTCACCTGCTGCTGGCTCTGCTCCTCCAGGTTCATCTTCACCTCCAGCGACTGGCGGGCCTCCAGGAAGGCCTTGCGGTGCTTGCGGTCTGCCATGTAGTAGGACATGATGCCCACGACGATGGCGCACAGGTAAAGGAAGACGTTGGCCAGGATCTGCACCCCAAGGAGGAGAAGAGGAAAGGACAGTGGTCAAGGCACGATTTGAGGAGAGGGATGGACGAGGTGGGCGGGTGGCGACCAAAATCCAACCCCAAGTTGCCCAGTGTCCAGGGAGGTCCCCAGCAGAGCCTCTGACCTGGAAGGGGTGTTTAGGCCCTGGAGCAGACCCTGCCCCACCGCCATGGATGAATGAGGTCTTTTCAAGGGAGTGGCTCCAGGCCTGGAAGGCTGGCTGGGGGACTGCAGATCTTCCATCCTCCTTACCTGATAGCAAAGCTGACCCACCCCACCCACCTGTGAGCCCTGAGCAGCCCCTCTGCTACTCATCCATTCACCCACTCGTTCAACCACCACTCACTGCGCCCTGACTTCTTAGGCACATCTAGGTGCTGTGCTGATTCGTTGGGGAGGGAAGTGAACCAAGCCCAGATCCAGTAACAGCTGCATGGTGAGTGCAGCCGCACCGAACACGCGTGCCACAGGGGACAGGCTCTGGGATTCACACATGTCCTCTGAGCCAAGCCCACCTGAAGGAGTGGCCAGTACCAGCGTCCAGGTCTCACGAAGAGCTGAAGCGACAGCAAGGGGAAAAGGGAGTTTGGGACCTGACGTCTGTCCTGTGAACTCGGTGCACTGGCACCGAGGGCTTCTCTAGGCATCAAGAGCCACATCCCTGGCACCCTGAGGTCCAGCCAGAGGGGGACAGAGCTCTTCTCTGAAGGGTGTGGTTTTCTTGAGCAGAAGTTAGAAGTTGGCAGGAAGGGAGGCAGATATTCTTAGTTTCTGACCGTAGGGGAGAAAAGATTGGCCCAGGGGGACAGAATAAATTCTAGGGTAGATGAAAAATACAGGGAAGTTGATTTTAGATTTTTAAACAAGATAGTTTAAGAGGCAAGAAAGGAAGTTAATTCAGACATTAATTTTCTGGTACTCTTGGTAATGCTGTATCCCCTCTGACGGTTTCTGTGTTTCATCAGTGCTGCTGGTCTGTGCTCATCATGAGGACCCACCACCCCCAGCAGAAGCTTCCTGAAGAGTCTGTATGTGGGCACCAGCCTGAGCCCAGGAAGCACTCAACAAAGGGCCATGGAGTAAATAGTTTATTAGCAGGTTAAGTGTGTCTTGGTGCTGGTCATCAAGTCACCGGGTGCAGATTTCACAAGCTTCTTGGATGTCTGGTTCCAGCAACTAAAACCAGCTGTATTCTTGGGCCTGGGTAGCTATGATCACCTACACCATTTGTGGGGCAGGCAGGTAGTTTCAAAGTCCTCTGGGACGTCTCCTGCACCTTCTTCTGGACCATGATTGCCCACTGCCATCTGAGTGGTCAGTATCAGTATGACCTTGATCAGTATGATCAGGCCACTTATTAAACACCTGATAATCTGAAAAGCTTCCAATTCATAATTTATGTTCAGTGGGTCAAAGCAAATCACAGATTGTTGGGTCTCGAAGCCAGTCTAGGTTGAGGTCCGGGAACCTCCAATAGCCCAGAGGCCACCATCCTGTGGAGGCCACGTGGCCTTAAAAACCCACCAGCCCCTAAGTTCATGGTGCAGGAAGTGGATGGACAAGGTCAGGCTGTACCTGTCCATCCTCACCCAGCAGTGCCACTCTGCCAAAGCCCAGATACAGCGGCCACCAGGCCAAGGGTCACTGGGCCAAGGGTCTCCGGGCTGATGGGGCCGGGGTCCTGGAGGGCAAGGGCAGAGCTGCGCAGAGAGGAGCCACGTGTCTGGACCCCACACCTGCCAGAGTCCACGGCTGAACCAGGGGCTCCAGACAAAGCAGGCTGACTTGGGGCACAGGCCTGCCTCTGCCCTGCCCACAACCAGCCTGGGCTGTCACACGGCTGGGGACAAAGCTCTACACTCAGGGGTCTTCCTGCCCTCCCCGGACAGGCCCTCCCTGACCACCTCAGGAGGATGGATGAGGGGGACTCTGTAAAATGTCCAGTGCTGAGCCTGCGTCAGGAATTACTGTTGTCCTTCCCCATCAGGCATCCGCCTAAGAAAACCAAACCTGCAGGCAGACCGTCAGAGAGCAACACCAGCGGAAAAGCTTCAAGCCAGAGAATAAAGAGTATAATGGGATTCAGGTTCGGTTCATCCTTGGGATCGTCTACGCAGGATAGCATCCCTCTCTTTGAGCTGCAGGTATTTGAAAATAAAATCCACTTTTGCGCTCCACTTGTAGGTACAGACGATATGGAAAGTAAATTCAAGAGAAGCCCTGGCGACCTGCCAGGTCAGATAACTTCCCTGAGCCCCAGTTTCATCATCCATGAGCTAAGGGATGGACTCATCTCCAACACCCTTCAGTCCTGACACTGTCTTGGGCTGGGATTGGAGATAATCTGGTCCAGGGAGGCCAGGGGAAGGAGGCTGGCAAGAAGGACAGCAGGTTAGTTCCAGGTTGGCCAGAGCACCCAGGTCACAGAAACCTTATCCCCTTCCTAACCTGCGCTCTCGGCTGCAGGGATGTGGAGGCAAACAGCTGCACCTGGGCCGTGCCCTGGAGCCACGGGGGTCCTGCAGGTGCCATCCATGCCAGGGAATTCCCTTCTGTCTTCCAGGGAGTAATCTGTTTCCAGACAACTCTCCCAACAGCCCCAGGCCGTGGGTCCCTCAGAGCTCCCCTAGTTCTCTAAACTTTCCTCACGCGCAGAATGGGCCCTCAGGGGCGCAGCTGCCCTGGCCCACTCCTCCTCTCTCTCACTCTGCCTCGGCTTCGAGGCCTGGAGGAGCTCAGCTGCCCCCCAGTGCCGGGCAGAAGAGGGCAAGAGGCTCAGCCAAGCCCGACAGTGGCCCCTCAGCCTCTAAGTCCAGGGCACAGACCCGAAGGGTGATGCTGCCAAGCCAAGGAGACCTCCAGCGAAGGAAGCTGGGGTGCACTCTGGGGAGGAAGGTTCGAGAGTGAGCCAGAGGAGCTGCCCTGCAACACAGTCCCCTGGGGTGATGGTGGCCGAGCTAGCTTAGGGGACCGGCGGGCGGGCAAGGTTTGGGCAGCAGCTGGCACGTGGCCTCAGCTTCCTCACCTGTAACATCACGTCACATCACAACATGACGTCCTAGACACTGGCATGCACTTTGCCCACCTCATCTGGCTTCATCTTCACAAGGCAGGTGATGTGATTTCGATTTGACAGAAGGAACTGAGATTAAGCAAGGGCTCAAAACTAGAGGCTAAGGTTTCTTCCTGCACTCATCTCTTATTCTATGATGCAAAACCCTACCCTACAAGCACCCCTCGGCTTATTTACACATCTATAACTCATCTTTCCCCAGGAAGGATATTAGACATTTTATAAACTAAAATTAAAATTTCCGCCAAGATACCAGCCCTAAAGCACTTATTGTGAGCTGCTCACCTTTTTAATCTGAAACAAAGTAGAATGTCTGCAGATTTCTACAACTTCCATACATATGGGGAGGTCATTAGCTCTAGTCTCTGACATTCCTCCATCTCCTGTTTCATATTTATGAATGTAAATGTGTCTCACTTAGCAAAAGGGATGTGCTCTTCAAAATGTGTTTGAAAAAAAAGAGTTGAGCTCCCTCAGCAGTGAGCCACGCACAGCGCCGGCACCGAGGAATCAATGGGGACCAGGACACCATCCTTCAGCCCGGGAGCCCACCGCTGGCTGGAGAAGGCCCAGGTCCCAGGGAGGACACGGTGATGGGTAAGTGGGGGCTGTCATTTCTCTAACACATTAGTTAGTACTGCCTCTCGTTATAGTTTAAGAACTGCAGACCCAGGAAAATCTTTGGCTGCCAGGGAAAGCCTGAACCCTAGAGAGAAATCTGAAATGTGTCTCTCACGTGACTATGACAAATGGGCTTCTCCAAGCTGAGCCCTGAGCTCTGCTGGCCTGGGATTAATTTTCTGGTGCTCCCACCCCGGGGAGGGGGGAAGAGGTTTTTTTTCAGAACTCATCTCTTCTTCCAGGGCTGCCTTCCTTGCACCCACTGCTGCACAAATATCTCCCCACCCACCCCAGCCACCCTGGGCCCACCTGGCAGCCCCTCTTCCTCCCTGAGAGCCCTGCTCAGCCTCCCATCCCCCTTCCTCCCTTCTCCACCCCTCCCCCATGCTCCTCGCACACGGTTCAGTCCCCTCTAATAGATGGGGCACTGCTGTCCTCCTCGCCCGTGTCCCCAGAGCCCACCCCAGGCCTCATCTGGCACCGGGACTCAGGAACCAAGAGCTGTTGGGTTGGATGGACCAGGTAGTGAAGCCACGTCACAGACACACCACTCACCTGACCCCTTCAGCCTCTGGTCAGCAGACAAGAAGTCATCATAAAGCCAACCTCCGGCCCCCAGGACCTCCCAGGGACCCAGCCTTCTAATTAACATCTCATCCGCTGCTCCCCACCCTTGCCAACCATCCTGAGAACAGAGAGGAACAAGGCTCGGTCACTCCCCCAGGACAGTACAGACCCCAGGACAGCAGATCAGGGGACAGTCTGGGAAATGTCCAGAGTATAATGCAGAGCACACAGGGTGAGAGAGAGGTGGGCATGTGTGGGGGTCGCAGTCACTCAGGGAGAGGTTAGACGGCTTCACACTCGCACCAGAGAGAGACGGGGTCTCAGAAATGCAAAGACGAGCTCTGATACCCCAGCCAGTGAGGGTGAGCGAGTGAGGCCGGAGGGCTTCTTCACTCTCTATCTGGAGAGCAGCGGCTTCTCTCCCCTGTTCTGAAAGCGAGCAGGAGCCCTGATGCACAGACCCTCACCCATCTCCTTGGTGTGGCCCTGGGCCAGCAGCAGCACCGCCACCTGGCCGCCCACACCAGTCGACTTCAGTCCCCGGGTGATGCCGCCGCACCCCCAAGGCTGAGAAGCCCTGCTCTGGGGTGCTGTCAAGGTCGCCCCTGTGTCTCCGTGGCCTCCTTTAGACTGGGCGGCAGTCTTCTCTCCAAAGAATGATTCTTTTTTCCTTTTAAACACAAGATTTTAAAAATAATGAATAAAATGAATGAATCTCCCC